TACAACGGCTGAGAGACAGGTTTTCCACAGGGGTGCAGGGTACTTGAACCATCACCACTGCCTCCCAGTGGTGATGCCTCGGCAGGAGGAGTCAGGAATCAAACTCCAGAACTCTAGTGTGGGATATGGGTCTCTTAAGCTCTAGGCCAAAGGCCTGCCCCCTTAAGACCTTTAGGTGGGAAAGAACCATGGTTCTCATACTGTGTGGAGGCTGCAGGGAGCGATACCATCTTTCGTATCAGGAAACCAAAGCATGGTAGCACAGTAGTGAGACGCATATGCAATATGTGAAAAGAAAGTGAGAAAACTTGTCACCAGAAGCATACTGTAGAGCTCTTAAAAGGGATGTCACCTGCTTCTCTTTTTTCTCCACTCTGCAATTCTGCAGGTTATGTTTGCCTGTTGCTTTTGATTTAGTGTTTTTACACTTTGTAACATGGTGGGAACGTTAGGTTAAGGAACCTTGCCATTTTCCTATTGAAAGCTGTCCTTTCAACAATACTAAGAATTTGCACTTTGGTAGATAATGACAAGAAATACGACAGGATATTAGTAAACAAGCAAATCATTGATGGCAACAAGTGATTTAATCAAAACATTCTCGTTCTCCCCCATCTGAACCCACGCAAGGAATGAACCAATCCAATTGGGAAAAAAATATTTGTTCTATCTTTGCCACATTTATTTACTCTTAGAGACTGTTTAACTGGATGGGGCAGAGAAGCTGGAAAGAACAGAAATACTCAAGGCACTGAACAGCCTTCTCTGTGCCTGGTCAAGAGGCAGGAATGCCAGCAGCCTGGAGGTGATCTCCACAGAGGCCTGCTCTTGAGCAGCATCTGATATCCTCTGCCCTCATCTTTGGAAGTAGAGAACTGACCTCTTCACGGCTCAGGAGCTGGGGGTGAAGGGTACAAAATGGGAATTAGAGAAAATAAATCAGCAATTCAGCCCTGGCTAGCCGTGTAAATGATTTCGAAGTATGTGATACTCATTCTCCAATTGTACTGAGGGCTTTCTGTGTATAAGGCCTTGTGTTACTGGAGGACGAAGAGAAATTGGGCATGGATGAAATCTCAAGAAACTCCCTAATAAGGCAAACAAAAGACACACAAACACCCATGGGAACAGGAAGCCACAGGCGTGTCTCAAGTTGGGCTCCTGGCAGCAGAGCTGAAGACTGCGCTGGCGTGTGGGTGCTTTAGTGACGGGGGTGGCCAGGTGGAAGCTTTAGGGGTGTCTGAGAAGCAGAATAGGGCAGGGGAGCAGCTGGGCAGAGGTGGCTGTAGCCTCCGCCAGACCCCATTCTGGGCTCTGAGGGGCGACTGGCACTTGTGGTGTAATGAAAATATGGATTTGATTTTGTTCCCAGTTTCCCAAAGCCACTGGAAATTATGGTCTTTTGTATTCTAATGAGATGGCTCCTGCTAGGGAGAGGGCACCTGGACAGCTTCAGGAGGGGACCTGGCTGCCAGAAAAATCAACCACGTGATTACAGTTAGAACTCTCAGCCCCACTGCACAGTTTCTGAGATGAGGAAAGGGGCCGGGGACTGGGTTTGTTTACTGATGACCAATGGTCTACATCTGACAACAGCCATAACAAGCCCTAACCAGTGGGGTTTGGAGAGCTCCTGAGTTAGTGAACGTGTCTCAGGGCCAGGGGGTGTGGTTCCTTCCAAGTCGGCAGGGACCGAGGAGTTCCCGTGTGCCCTTGGCATCTGCATCCCCTGGAACACACTGTAACAGGGGTACGGGAAAAGCAAAGGTGGCAGGAATGGCATCTGACACAGCAGTTCAGGTGCCACTTGAGATGCCCTGCATCCCATCTCAGAGTCTCTGACTCCACTCAAGCTTCCCGCTAAGGCAGATCTTGGGAGGCAGTTGGAGATGGCTCAGACACTTGGGTCCCTGCCACCCTTGTGGGAGACCTGAACTGAGTTCCTGGCTTCTGCCTGGCCTAGCCTACCTCAGGTATTATGGGCTTTTGGGGAGTGAACCAGCGGATGGAGGATCTCTCCATCTCTGTCTGCCTTTCAAATACGTTAGGAAATAAAAATGGGGAAATAAAGTTATAACTATTGTTTTGGATAAGGCTTCTGCACCAGGCCTCAACAGACCAAAAACCAAAATGGAGTCTCTCATGCTAACATTCCATGTTGCCAAACTGAAACTAAGCTGTTATCTGACCTTCTAAGAAATCAGGGGTGAGAGGAAACAGCCAAATATTCCAATCAGGCCAGTGTCCACTGGCATGGTATTAAAGTTCCCTCTGCCTTAATCTTTACACAGAAAAGGTAACTTGAAGTAACCTGATATTAACCAACCAGTTGTTTTTCTACTGTTCTGTCTCCTTGTCCTTAAAATTTACAAGGAAAGTAACTCAAATGACCAATCTGCTTTTCATTCTGTTTCTGAGTTTTTCCAAACTTCCCTGTCCATAAAACGAAGCTCTTCTGCTTAGCCCATCAGAGGACTTCTCACTTAAGAATGAAGTGTGGCCTAGTTCTAGAATCAGAAATAAAGCCAGTCAAGCTTTTGAAATTCAACTGTGGTAATTTTGTCCTTTAGCATTTTCCTGAGTTCCGTGAGTTGCTCCGGTGAACTATTGAGCTTGAAGGGGGCGAGTCTTAGGAACTCTCAAATCTGTAGTCTGCCCAGCAAAAACAGGCCACCTGGGTGCCCCACTTACAGCTGGTGTCTGAAGTCATGTGGGCCTGAGCCCCTTAACCTGTGGGATCTGATGCTGGCTCCAGATAGGCGGCATCAGAATGGAACTGCAGTGGGTGTCAAAGCAATTAGAGAACTGATTGGTGTTAGGGAAAAACTCATACTTAATGTTGTCACAAAACACCTCCCACTCTCCCAAAGTTGTCCCAAAGTGAGGCAAGGGGCATGGGTCTTTGTAAACCCGCATCAGCTAGGCAGCTGTGGGTTGCCACTCGGGACAGAATAACCTCCCACATGCTACTGGACAAGGCAGCACCCATAGATCCAAGGCAACACTCCAGAGAAGGGAGGGCTGCAAGCCTGTAGCCACCAACACTACAGTGGCTGTGGGATGGCCATACCAGCCTAGGATAGGACATCCAGACAGGACCCCGCAGCACGTACAACATGGTGGCGGTCAGAGACAGTGAGACGTCAACTGGTCTGTTGGCATCGGCGGGAGGGTGGGAGGTCCTTCACATGGTGATTCTTCCCTCCCAAGTAAGAGATTCTCTGGAACAGTCTTCCAGGAAGCTCATGCTTGGGGATTAGGAACCAGTTGCAAAGGAAATGCAATGTATGGCAAAATTAGAGGGGGATCATCAGGAGAGTGGCTAGAATGGAACTGAAATGGAAAATGAAGCCCTGCTTTGGGCCCAAAGACTGTGTCACCCTGTTCCCTTTCAGAAGACTAAAATGAGGGTGGGCACATGGCCTAGTGGTTAAGATGCCTGTGTCTTCCATCCAAGTACCTGGGTTCAAGTCCCTGTTCCAGTTCTCTGCCAATGCAGACCCTGGGAAGCAGCAGGCAATGGTTCAGCTAGTCGGGTCTGTGCCCCCAATGCGGGAAACTGGGATTGAGTTCTTGGCTTCTGTTAGAAATGAGGTCCCTGGGGGCTGGAGTTAAACCACTGCCTGAGACGCCAGCATCCCACCGGAGCACCGGTTCAACTCTTGGCTACTCAGCTTCTGACCCAGCTCCCACTAATGTGCCCGGGAAAGCAGCAGATGATGACCCAAGTAATTGGGTATGCTGACCGAGTTCCTGGATCCTAGCTTGGGCCTGGTCCAGCTCTGGCTGTTGTGGGCATTTGGAGAGTGAATCAGTGGACGGAAGATCTCTTTCTTTCTCAGGCTCTCTCACTCTCTCTCTGTCACTCTGCCTTTCATTATATTTTGGAGGAGGAGGAGGAGCAGGAGGAGGAGGAGGAGGGATGAGGAATCTGAGAACTAGAGAATTCCATGATTTGCTTATGGTCGCTTTAAATGCCGATGGGATTTGAGCTCTCACCCATCTCCCTCCAGAGCCACTGCCATCTACCACCCCTTCTCCAGGCTTTCTCCTCAGCTTTGCTGGATTTCAGAGGTTTAGACTTCAGTGTGCATCCAAATCACTTCTTTAAACAGGTTCCTGGGCTCCATTATGAGAGTTCGATTCCACGGGTTTGTGCTGACCAGAGATGAAGCTGGGAACGTAATTTGCAGGGCTGGTGCCAAGGGCAAGTGCAGGCCCTCATCCTGGAGTGTGGAATGCTGTGCCTTTGCACAGGCCCTCTGCTTCAACCCACAACGGATGCATGCCCACCCCTGAGGCAAAGAATGGCAACCTCACTCCTGGATATAACTAGTACCTGGGTCAGGGCTGGCCAGAGGTCCCTGAGGAGCGGCCCACTGATGAAGCCTGTGCTGCCTGTCTGGGGTAAGGACAGCTGGCCTGGCCTTGGCCTGAATATCTTGAAGTGTGCACCAGTCTGACTCTGTGTGTGTGTGTGTGTGTGCCCAAGACCCTGCCGGGGACAAAAGACAATAGCAAACACAAGCCTCTTCTCGTCAAGATGAGCTGGCCGCCACCAGCTCATGGGCAGGATGGGGAGCAGGTGCTGAGGGCCCACTCTGGGGAGGCAACAGGAGGGGGAGAGGACCACATGAGCCAAGGTCCCAAGCCCCTAGGATGACTATGCTGTTCAGCTGGACTTCCCTTGAGAAACACTAACTCGCAGACAAAACTAAACAGCTGCAAGCCTCTGTGTGACTACACTGGTTGTACATCCGAGAATTTGACCTTGGCCAAGAGAATATTTGCATTTCTAGCAAAGTTTCCCAGGCAATTCTGAGAACCACTTGCTGTTTTCTTTGTTTCAAAAAAGACTCAAAGCACTGCTCTACCCCGTGACTTTTGTCATCTATCATAAGGGTCACAGCTAATATTCCTAGAACCACAGCCATCACCCTATTGATTTACTCCAGGTTTTAGGTGACAGCAGAGCCTTCAAAAGGAAGACCCAAGGACCCAGGGTATTACTGGATGCTAATAGACTGAGGAGGGCAATCCCAGCGAGGTCTGTGTGCTCAGATTCTTCTTGGCCTCTCTGGGTAACATTCCTTCCTCCAGGGGTGGTGCAGGCCCCTCTGGAAACAGAATCATCGGATCTGCTGTCAGACAAGGTATGCAGAGAATTTCTTAGGGCCAACTTGTACACACAAAGGTGAGAGTCGGATTTCTAGGTTTTGTTTATGGCTTAGCAGGGAAAGAGAGAGAGAGAAGTATCTTCCAGCCACAGGTTCATTCTCAAAATGGCTGCAACAGCCAGGGCTGGGTCAGGCTGGAGCCGGAAGCCCAGAATTCGACCCAGGTTTCCCACATGGGTGGGCAGGGGCCCAAGACTTTGTAGCGTTTGTACCATTTGTGCTCTGCATGGAAGCAGAGTAGCTGGGGCTTGAACTGGCTGACAGGGGATGTGGGCATCTCAAGTGGTGGCTTCACCCACGGCACCGTGATGTTCACCCCAAGGGCGGTTCTGACTTCTATGACCCATGACCGGGAAGAGGAATTCTAGTTTCCAAGGCTTGTCTGAAGGGAGGAAGGGAGCAGGCGAAAGGAGGGTGGGTGGGGGTCAGACACTTAGGAGCCCTGCCAGCCTTCTTGAGGTCCAATCCTCTGCCTGCCAAGGGGCCGTGCTTTGGGGTATCATTCTGAGCCCTGAGACTTTCCTCTCCTTTTCTGTAGAATGGGGGTACTTCCTGCCTCATAGGCTCAAGTAAGAGGACAAACGGTTTTTATAATGCCTGCACAGTGCTTAGAACCGGGCACAAACCCAATTGTTAACAATACTGACAGTAATAGTAATAGTAATCATTATTATTGTTATCACCACCTCTGGTATTGTTGGGGTGATTGTATCTGATGCCTTTATCTAATGTTCTCTATTTCTTTCCTGAATTTGGGGAAGGAACCAGAGAAGTGTATGGAAAGGACAGGGGTGGGGAGAGACACTTCTGGTCAAAGCCAGCTATTGCCAAAAGCCAAACCAAGGGGAGATATGTAAGGATGCTATGATTCACCTTAAATTCAAAATCTGGACCCTCTGAAATTGGCCCTGGAGGGAAAATCCGAATGTGAGGAGGGCATGGGTGGGCCCCTGCACTCCACATTCTCTTGGGGAGGGAACGTCTGGTTTGTAGGAGGCATATAAATTTCTCCAAGACAGAGAAAGTCCTCAGGATGGAAACACAGTTCCCACAGTCACTTTCTTCTGTCCTTTCTGGAGTGAGGGTAGAGACGCTATTCTCCCCTCAACCTCCAGATCAGGTAATGACGCCCAGAAGCCCAAGGTGCTGGCACTCAGGGCCAGCCCCAGCGGGTGGACTGCTTTCACAGAGCTTGATTCAAGTCACGGTGACACGGCCACAGTTGCCCTCCAGGGGCTGCTTGTCCCATCCCACATGGAAAGAATCCACTGTTCTCTAACTTGAGGCCGGGTTACGAAGGCCCAGAGAGTCTGCAGTGAGTCTCAACCTTGGAATCTTTCTGGGAGCTTGAGAATCAGGGATTCTGATTTAATCAATTTGGGGTGTTTTGAATCTCTGCGGTTGTCACCGCCATGTAGCTGAGGTGAGAAACACTGCTACACTTATAGCTCAGTCCTGGTCTGTTCTCTGTGGCTCCTTCCTGGGCTGGCTGACACATAGGATGAACAGCTATGCAGCAGCATGTTCTCATGTTAGTGGGATCCAGGAAAACCTCCAGGGCACACAGCAGGACCACAAGAGCGGGTCAAGATAGGACAAGGTGAGGATGGCACGTGGAGCCATAGCAGCAAGGAAGGGGTGATTGCCAGGTCAGCACAGGGCAGGACAAAGAATCGGCGAGAAGACTCTAGCGTTGTGTCCGAGGCACGTGCTCTGGAGATGAATGGCCTCCTGGAGCGGTTCTGAGAGGCAGGCATCCCTTCCTGGCCTCCGAGCTGTCGTGCCGGGGCTGTTTCCAGCACTGTGTCCACAGCACTTGAAGGTGCTCCTTGTTTTTGAGCATCTGCCCGATCGGCTCTCTCCTGCGTGCCAGGCATCGCTGCCAGCTCAGGTACGACCTCCCCGCATCAGATCAATTCCACAAACATTTACTGAACATCGCCCCTCCAACAGGTACCAAGCTCAGGACTGGGGAACACGCAATGAATGGCTGTTGTTGGTTCATCTCCTTCGAATGCTGACCTTGAGTAAGTCTCTTGCTTCTCAACATTTCAGTTTCCCGATCTGAGAAATGTAATCCTAACAGGGTCCGCTTGAAGGGCTGGTATGTAAATTAGTTAATATATCAAAACACTGGCTTCTATTAAGCACCTAATAAATATCAGCCAATCTTGTTGTTATTTTTTTACATTATTATTATTATTATGGTCTGAACATTTGCGTTCCTTCCAAATTCATGTTTGCAAACCTAATCTCCAATGCTGTAATATTAAGAGGTAGGATCATTAGGACTGATTAGGTCATGAGGATAGAGCCCTCACAAATGGGATTGGTTCCCCCTCTCTTAGTCAACATTTTATTTAGTTAGGTCTATTTATTTGAAAGGCAGAGATTCAGAGATTCAGAGAGAGAGAGAGAGAGAGAGAATCTCCCAACCACTGGTTCACTTTTCAAATGTCTGCAACAACCAATTTTGAGCCAGGTTGAAACTGGGAGCTGAGAACTCAATGCAGGTCTCCCATATGGGTGGCAGGAACTCAATCACTTAAGCCAATACCTGTTGCCTCCCAGGGTGTGCATCAGCAGGAAACCAGAATCAGGAGCAGAGCTACACCTCAAACCCAGGCATTCCGATGTGGGATGCAGGTATCCCACGTGGTGTTTTAACTGCTGCCCCGTGGTGCCTCATTAAAGAGGCCTGAGGGAGCTTGTTCACCCTTACCCAAGAGAGAATGCAGTTAGAAGGCACCATCTCGGGGCTGGCGCTGTGGCATAGCGGGTAAAGCTGCCACCTGTAGTGCCAGCATCCCATATGGGCACCAGTTCGAGACCTGGCTGCTCCACTTCCGATCCAGCTCTCTGCCATGGCCTGGGAAAGCAGTAGAAGATGACCCAAATCCTTGGGCCCCTGCACCCGCATAGGAGATCCGGAGGAAGCTCCTGGCTCCTGGCTTCAGATCGGTGCCTCCGGCCGTTGCAACCAATTAGGGAGTGAACCAGTGGATAGCAGACTTCTCTCTCTCTCTCTTTCTCTGCCTCTCTTTCTCTCTCTGTGTAACTCTGACTTTCAAATAAATATATTGAAAAAAATTCTTTTTTAAAAAAAGGCGGCACCATCTTTGAAGCAGAGAGCAAGCTTTCACCAGATACCAAATCTGCTGGCACCTTAATCTTAGATTTCCAAGCCTTCTGAACTGTAAGCAGTAAATTTTGGTGGGGTCAGCCAGGCCTGGTCAGCCGTGATGAGAAGTCTGGACTTAAGAAGACAAAGGTACTGCCCTCAAGCAGCTCCCAGTTAATCAGGAACGATAGACATGAGGATCATTTATTAGTTTTTAATGTTGTGTTAACTTAGTACAATATGCAAATGTGGCAAGAAAAGAACAGCTGGAAACAAAACAAGATGAAAAACCCAGATCAACACGGGCAAGTGTCACAGGGGATTGCTTCCCCTTCCCACGCAAGCCATCTTGCTACCCAAGCCCCACCCCTGGCCCCAATTTCTTTTGGTGTGACCCAGAAACTAGGTGTGACCCCTCCATGCCACCTCCCCCCTCAGCCCTCCCTCACATCCAGCCAATGGCCAGAGCCCTCTGAGTTGCTGCCTTGAACCCTGTTATTCCCGATTTCCCTAAGCAAGGACTTCCTTGTCTGTTAAGGGACGAGTCCAGCAACCATGTAGGTCTCGCTTGCTTTGCCCTCACCAACCTCGCCTTCCACATCACGCCTGCCACAGCGATCTTTCCAACACGTCAAGCCAACCACATATCTCCCTGGGGCAAAACGATCCAGTTTCCACAGCACCTTGCTCTACCTGCATTTCCACCCACCCCTAGACCTTTCATGAGCTAAGAACGAATGTGTGTAAAACACTTTCAGCTTCTTTGGATAACTGCAGGGGTGCTATTTCTAAACCTGATTTTAGTCCTAAAGGTACGTCAGTATCCTTTCCTCTATATAATTTCCTATCTGTAATGAACTGTTCTTTCTTGAAAACCTGCACTAAGGGCGGGAAATGGGTCTAGTCTTTCCAGCGTTGAGATAACGTAGGTGTCACCCTTGCCTCCCGGAATTATCTTCCCAGGGTAAACACCATGGTGCCAAAATGTTGGTTAATCATGCAGCCCTCTGTATACACTGACTTCTTAGCTTGAATAACCTAAGATTTCAGCATTTCCTCTGCCTCTTTGTCTTCCATGGTAGCTCTTTTCTAGTTTTGCTTTCTCTCTCTCTCATTTTTTTAATTGAAGATTTATGGGCCCAGCATTGTGGCATAGTAGGCTAAGCCTCCGCCTGCAGCCAGTTCATGTCCCCGCTGTTCCTCTTCTGATCCAGCTCCCTGCTATGGCTTGGGAAATCAGTAGAAGATGGCCCAGGTCCTTGGGCTCCTGTACCTGTGTGGGAGACCTGGAAAAAGCTCCTGGCACCTGGCCTCAGATCGGCTCAGCTTCAGCCGTTGCGGACATTTGGAGAGTAAACCAGTGGATGAAAGATCTTTTTTCCTCTCTCCCTCTCTGCCTGTAACTCTACTTCTAAAATAAAGAAATAATTATTTTTATGGGACAGGTAGAGTTATAGACAGTTAGAGAGAAAGAGACAGAGAGAAAGGTCTTCCTTCTGTTGGTTCTCTCCCCAAATAGCCGCCACGGCCGGCACTGTGCTGATCTGAAGCCAGGAGTCAGGTGCTTCTTCCCAGTCTCCCATGCGGGTGCAGGGGCCCAAGCACTTGGGCCATCTTCCACTGCTTTCCCAGGCCTATTAAGGGGAGAGCTGGGAGAGGAGCAGCCAGGACTTGAACTGGCGCCCATACTAGATGCTGGTGCCGCAGGCAGAGGCTTAGCCTGCTATGCCACAGCGCCGGCCCCGCCATCATTCTCTTTACTCACCCCATTCTCCATTTGCTGACAACCTCTGAGCTATTTTCCAGGATGTTATATAAGTGGAATTGTGAAATACCAAGCCTTTATGTCTGGCTTCTAATACTTAGCATCCTGTTCTAGAGAATAATTCATGTTGTTGCACATATTACTAGCATGGTTTTTTATTGCTATTATTCCGTGGTTTGGATGTAGCACGATTTCTTCACCCACTTACCTGTTGATGGACATCTGGGCTGTTTTCAGACTTTAGTTATTAGGGAAAAGGTTGTCATAAATATTCACGTACAAGTTTTGTGTAGACACATGAATTCATCTCTCTTGCATAAATTCCTGGGAGTGGTATGGCTGGATCACATGTGTTTAATTTGTTTAACTTTATAAGGAATGGTCACACTGTTTTAAAGTGATTTTGTCATTTTTACATTTCTACCAGCAACATCCAAGAGCTTCACTTGTTCCATTTGATCCCGAAGGTTGGGCAATGTGGCTCTTCCTAATTTTAGTCAGTCTAGGGGTTATGTCATACACTAATATCTTCTTGTGTGATTAGTATTTTTTTTTTTTTTTGACAGGCAGAGTGGACAGTGAGAGAGAGAGACAGAGAGAAAGGTCTTCCTTTGCCATTTGTTCACCCTCCAATGGCCGCCGTGGCCAGTGCACCGCGCTGATCCGATGGCAGGAGCCAGGAGCCAGGAGCCAGGAGCCAGGTGCTTTTCCTGGTCTCCCATGGGGTGCAGGGCCCAAGCACCTGGGCCATCCTCCACTGCACTCCCGGGCCACAGCAGAGAGCTGGCCTGGAAGAGGGGCAACCGGGACAGAATCCGGCGCCCCGACCGGGACTAGAACCCGGTGTGCCGGCGCCACTAGGCGGAGGATTAGCCTAATGAGCCGCAGCGCCGGCATGATTAGTATTTTTAATGAACTAATTTGCCATTAATATTCTTTGGTGAAAGTGTCTGTTCAAATATTTGAACATTTTTAGTTAGGTTTTTTCTGATACTGTTATTATTTACCGTATTTTTACCTGTAAAAGTTCTTTATATATTCTGAATACAAGTTCTTTATCAGATTTGGAGTTTTCTAATATTTTTCCAAGCATGTGGCTTTCATGTTTTTCCCCTTCTCTATCTCTGTCTCTCTGTTGGTCTTTCAAGTAAATAAATAAAAATAAACAAACATTTTTAAAAAGGGGCTGGGAGTGGACATTGTGATGAAAGTGCTCTAGCCAGTGCTGGCGATGCTGGCATCCCACATCAGAATCCCTGGTTTGAATCCCAGCTACTTTGGTTCTGATCCAGCTTCCTGCTACTACATCCTGGGTGGCAGCAGAGGATGGCTCAAGTGCCTGGGCCCCTGCCACCCACGTGGGAGACTCAGCTGGAGTTCCTGGCTCCTGGCTTTGGCCTGGCACATACCTGGCTGTAGTGGGCATCTGGGGAGTGAACCCATGAATGGAAGGTCACTGTCTCTCTTCGTCACTCTGCCTTTCAAATAAACATTTCTAAAAGATAAAAAATTTCTTAATATTATCTTTCTATAACAGTTTTAGTCATAATATATCCCTATGACATCATTTTTTGAAAAGCAGAAAATTTTTTGATGAGGTCCAATTATTAGTTTTTTCTTTCATGATTTGTGAAATATGATGTTTGTGTCTTAAGGAAGTTTCGCTTAATTCAAGGTAGCAAGATTTACTCCTATGTTTTCTCAGTGATTTTGTAGTCTATCACATATTTAAATCTATGACCCATGATCCATTTCAAATTAATTTTTGCATATGGTATAAAGGTCAAGTTTCCAATTTTTTTTTTTTTTTTTTTTTTGCGTATGAATGTCCTGTTGTTAAAGCACCAGGTGGGTCATAGTGGGCTAAAGCCTCCACCTGCAGTGCCAGTGTCCCATATGGGCTCTGGTTCAAGTCCCGGCTGCTCCTCTTCTGATCCAGCTCTCTGCTACGGCCTGAGAAAGCAGTAGAAGATGGCCCAAGTATTTGGGCCCCTGTACCTGCATGGGAAACCTGGAGGAAGCTCCTGGTTCCTGGCTTCAGATCACCTCAGCTCTGGCTGTTGTGGCCACTTGGGGAGTGAACCAGCAGATGGAAGACCTTTCTGTCTCTCCCTCTCACTGTCTATAACTCTACTTCTCAA